GAAAGGAAAGGAAAGGAAAGGAAAGGAAAGGAAAGGAAAGGAAAGGAAAGGAAAGGAAAGGAAAGGAAAGGAAAGGAAAGGAAAGGAAAGGAAAGGGGAAAAAGGAAAAAGGAAAAAGAAATGGAAATGAATATTAAAAGAGACGCTTTTTAAATCCACTCTGCCTGTTGAGTTTGGACTGATGAAATGTGACCTGTGCTTGGAAATCTCACATGGGAAGAGAAGCACTTCCCTGCAGTATAACCCTCAAATGCTCCACGTTCCAGCCAGCTTGGCCCTGTGGCTCCCAGCTGCTGCAGAGCCTCACTATTAATCAGCCTTGGGATGATTTGTGTTGCTGAGGGACCCCATTCCCAGAGGAATGTTGTTTGGAAGCTGTGCCTGCACATTCCTGGGATCTCCTGCAGTCACCTGCCGTGACCTCTGCAGCTCACGAGTTAGGGCCTTGTCCAGGGGCACTAATCCCAGCTGGCTACTGATCCTGCTGATTCTTAATGGGATTTTCCCATCTTTAGCGTTGAGACAGCTTAATTCCTCCTGCCAAGGAGGAGAGCTATAAAAAGCCACATGGAGACCTCCAAAGCTGAAGAACCCGATGTTCTGAGCTGATCTCCAGACATTTGATCATTATGGAAAGGGGAGAGCTGGACTTTGAACCTTCATAGATCCTGGAAGAGACCTGAAACTCTTTCTCATTGTTGTTCAGAGGAACCTGCTCCATTACAGATCTTGGAGGACCTCTTTGGGATAGGGAAACTCCATCTTAATTTCCTTTTCTGTCTCATTTGGGGCAGATTTGAACCTGGGTTGCTCATTCTACACTGAGTGCAAACAAAGCTCCTGATCTTTGTGTTCATGAAGTTGAGTTGTGACTGAATGTTCCAACTTCAGAGACACCATGAAGTACCTAAGAATAAAAAAAATCAATTTTATCCATCTGAATCTACTGAAAGACCCACCCCACCACAACTGCTGAGGCCACAGCAGGGCGGGAGCTGATTGCAGCTCATGCTATTTATTTAAATAATAGAGCTCATTAAAGTTCTTTGGTTCAGTTCTGAGGGTCCTGAGCTCAGTCTCTGCCACAGAGCCAGGCTGAAGTGGATGGTGCTGGAATAACTCGGGAAAAACGGGGAATATTGAGTGGGAGAAGGGCTGAACATGTGATTAAATTACCTCTTTCCTCCTGTTTCATTTCCACAGGGCTCCCTGCCTTGGTGGTTGCCATTTCCGTGGGATTCACTAAAGCCAAGGGATACGGCACCGTGAACTAGTGAGTAAAGGATTCCTCTTTTTCCTAATGTTTTATCCTCCATCCTTTTTGTCAAAACCCAGTCACTGGCACACAGGAGGCTGGGAGCTAAATTTCCATGTGCAGGACAATTCCTGCATCCCTGCCTCCTCAATCCATCATCTGACCAAGCTGGATCATGTGTTCCTTAAAAAACAAGTCCATAGGGACTAATTAGGTTTAACTGCTGTATTTGTGACATCATTTTGATCTGAATACCTTTTACTTAGAGCTTTTTAATGTATATTTTAAGGGGAAAGATGTAGAATATTTAAACTTTAGGATGTTTAAAAATTAAAATCACTTTTTTTTTTTTAAGTCTGTTTTTTTGCTTGGTTGGTCTCACGTTTTTCAAATAGCTCAGCTCAGTTTTAGGCAGCAGAATGAGCCTGACTTGTGCAAACCAAGGTTTTGACAGCAGCTTGTGTTTGCCTGTTTTCCAAATTCCACGGGTTTTGTCTTTAGGAAGCTTTTATGTGCTCATAAAGGGGAAGGAAAACAGAAAAGAAATAATGGAAGAGGTAAAAATGCATTAAGGCAAGGCTGGGCTCACTCAGAGCTGAGAATTAATATGACTTTAAATGAAAAAGAAAAAAAGAGAAAATATTTTTTCCCTCTGTTGCGAAAAACCTTAGAAATTTCATGCATAGAGGCAGTTCAAGGATAATATTTTATGTAGCAATAAGTCAGGCTCTTCCTACTACATCCCATCATTTTCCAGAGCCTTCCTGGGCAGGGGTTTGCAGCCCACACGGGCGATGTTTGAGACTGGAGCTGTTGATGTGGCCGGCAGCAGATCGTCCTTCGATCGTCCCACTGAGGAAATGTCATGTGGAACCTGCTGCTCTCCCTCAATTCCCACCACATCCTGCACACCCACGGCCAAATGGTCCAGGGCTTGCATCTTAATTGCAGGGGAGAATTAAAGCAGCACAGCAGCGTTTGCTGTTCGCTTTGCAACCTGAATTCTTGCATAACAGAGGGCTCAGGATCGTGGATTTCTTGAGTACAAATCCATAGACAGAGTTCCTGAAGTCTGTGCTGGCATCAGGATGCACTGGCTGTCCCGCCTTCAGTGTGTCCTGGTGGAGAGGGACACAGTGGTTGTTGTGTGACTCAGGAGAGGACAAAACACAGCCTGGTTTGCAGAAATATCACCAAGATCCCAAATTAATTCCCTCTGGATTTTCCGTGGGTCAGCCACTTCTGGCACTTTGCTCCAGGCACATCCACGAGAACAATTCATATTGAACAAGCCTCAGGGAGATGGGAGGGAGGCCCTGGATATTTCTGCTTCTCTTTTTTCATTTATAGACTGGTGGGAATAGGTACAATAAGCTTTGTGGCTCTGTCAAAAACGTTTAAGAGATTTTTGGACAACGTTGAGCACAGAAAAGTGCTTGGGCAGGGAAGGGAGGGGCGTGCAGGGAAGCAATCCCTGTTTTCTGCCCTGGAGCACTGTGCCAGCATCTCCTACCCTGCAGACTGCAGCCAGGAGGGTGTCAACATGTGACAAAACCTGCTGGGCTCCTGCTTCCCTCTCAAGCTGGCACAGGGTGAGGTGGCCAAGAGGCTGGGCTGACTTTGCAGCGTTCTCAGGGGTTGTCTGGTCACACCAGCTTTCATCCTTTTGCTGCAAGTCCTCTGACTCCTTTCAGCCCTAAAGACTCTGTCACCCCTTGTGTCCAAGGGCTGGGTGCCAGGGGATGGAAGGGGATCCCGTGCTCCCAGCTCTGCTCTCAGGATTTTTGTCACCAAAATTGATGGGTGGTGAGGCCTTTGCACCCCAGCCAGTCCAGTTTGATGAATTCGGTTTCAGTGATCCTCGTGAATCCTTTTCTGGGATATTCCATGGTTCTGTGGTCCCTCCTTTTGCCTCTTTTCCACATTTCTCAATGTGGGGTGAAGCTGGTGAGTCCCACCAAAGTCATGAGAAAAAGAACAGTTCCTCTCAAGCTCAAAGATCCCATCAGACATCCCCAACGCTGCCATCCTATTGTAATTCCACTTTTTGGTGCCTTCCAGTACCTAAAAGACACACAAGACGGCTGGAGAGGGACTTTTTCCAAGGGCAGGTAGTGACAGGACAAGGGAAAAAGGCTTTGAGCTGAAGAAGGATAGATTTAGATTGGATATCGGGAAGTTCTTCCCTGGGAGGGTGGTGAGCCAGAGAAGCTGTGGCTGCCCCTGGATCCCTGGAAATGCCCAAGGCCAGCTTGGACAGGGCTTGGAGCACCTTGGGATAGTGGAAGATGTCCCTGCCCATGGCAGGGGATTGGACAAGATGATCTTTCAGGTCTCTTCCAACCCAAACCATTCCATGATTCTCTGAATTCCTGCTGGAACTGGCTTTACCAAGAGCCAGAGTTAAACAGAGCTCACTTGCACTGAGGAGAGGGGTGCGTTCACGAGCCCTGATGCTGAATAAAATGAAGCATGTCTGTAATGAGAGTTGCATTTACACTTTTGTGCATTTTAAAGCATGAAACAAATACTCCTGTGGGTCCAGCCAGGCAGGGCGCCCCGACAGACTGGAGTGCATTCACACTTAGCCCTGTTTTCCTGCTCAGAAAGGATTAAAAGCTCTGTTGCACTCCTGTGTGGGGAGGCCCTTGGTTTCACCTCTTCTCCAGAGCAAAGTCACCACCTCACAGCAGCAGTTTCAGAGCTGAACTCCAAAACTTGAGGTTTAGCTTGGACAGTGGGAAGAAATTTTTCTCTGTGAAGTTGGGGAGGCCCTGGAATGGAATTCCAAGAGAAGCTGTGGCTGCCCCATCCCTGGAAGTGTCCAAGGCCAGTTTGAACAGGATTTGGGGTGCCCTGGGATAGTGGAAGGTGTCCCTGCCCATGGCAGGGATGTGGAACCAGGTGATCTTGAAGGACCTTTCAGCCCAGTTTTGTCTCCAGTGGGCACTCAGGGGACACTTGGGCACTGCAGACTTTCAAAGCCCAATATTTCCAGCTTGCAGAAGGAAGGAAAGGCTTTAATCACAGCACATCCCTCCCTGGGAAAGAGGGAACAAGAGGTGATAAGATAAACCACAAGGGACTTTTAAAAACCCACATAAACATAAACCACAAAGAGCCTTTTAAAGCATCTTCCAACCCCACAATTTCTGGGTCCCAAGAGCAGTGCATGAGCTCCCGTGGTGGAGGTGGACTCAAACTCAAAGCAGGGCTTGGATATTTAGGTGAACACAGAATTTAACACTCAACAGCAGGCTTTCTTCTCTTTTTTTTGCTCTTTTTTTCACAACTTACAGTGGTAAAAAGCCCCTGATATCCAACTAACAGGACATGGTCACGAGGGCATTTTGGGTACAGCTGCAAGTGTTGAAGGCATTGCAGAATTAATCTTGGTGTTAAAGATTCTCAGGGTGAGGCTGGTGGAAGGGTCAGGGTGTGAAATGTGTGATGTGTCTTGAGGCTGGCACTGCCAGTCCAGCTGCAACTTCAGGATGTGCCAAAGGTGGCCCAACCGCAGTGGAACAAACTCCATCAGGATGTTCAGCCTGGGACCTCAGCAGGATTTCACACAGTTTGGTCCTGGCTTTTTTATTGTACATGGGATGAAGCTTTTCTCTAACAATGGAAACAGCTGAGCAGCAGGACCCGAGTCTGTCCCACCAAGAATTGTCCCATCAAAGGCTTGGCCGTGTCTCCAAGCTCTAATGCAGAGAGATCAGAGCCAGTGGTGAGTTTAGGGAGCTTGCAGTATGTTTGATATTTACCATTTAGCTGGCCAGACTGCCCTGAGTCGAGTTCAGGTTAAAAATTGAAGGTGTGCTGCAGGATTTGGTGTCTGTGTTGCTGTGTGAGTGGGGATTCCCAGCAGCCATTCACTCAACCTTTATTGCTCAGGACACTCCAACAAGGGCATTTTTCCTTTCTCTTGTCTGAACTGCGTTTGGAAGTACATTTTGCTGTTGAGTGGAGCATGCTGGGGCAGGGTAAAGGCTGCACTTCCAATCTCAAAGAAAGTCTGAGGGGTACCAGAGGTCTAAAGGACCTGCCACTGATCGCGTCCTTAGATTAGGCTGAGTGCCTGAGTAATAACTCTGCTTTTAGCTGCTGCTCCAGGGACTGCCTCTGGACTCTAAAGCTTCACAAACAACCTCCTAAAGCTTGAAGTGAATAATTGAGGTTGTGCCACCGGCGCTGGGAGCTCACATCCTCCCCCACAGGAGAGCCCATCAGAAGTTTTTGGAGAGCACAGCCTACACACAGCAAATTTCTCGGGGTCCTGGAGTGTCACTGCGTCAGGGCTTTGGTGACCCACAGGTGTCTCAGCAGCTTCTGGGTTAATCTCTGGATAAACACTGGTGGGCCAGCCCCGATTCCTGGCTGTAAGCTCAGTTTTACAGAATGTTCTGTTGGTGCTGCCCAGTTTTAAGCAGGACTGAGGTGAGAGCTGCTGCTGGCAGGGCTGGACAGTGTGGAAAAGGGCTCAGTGGTGGAAGCCAGCCCTCCCCAGGACCAGGACAAAAGCCACCACCTCCCATCTGTGCTGTGGCAGAGTCACAAAAAGATCAGATGGTTTGCAAAAAAGGTTTTTACTGTGCTGAACACAAGAGCTGCTGTCAGTCGAGGAAACGCTGCCTAGGAATTGTTAAACAATTCACATCCTCCCTTCCAGTGATAATTTTATTTAAAAAATCACTGAAGAGGTGTTTTGGAAAGTACAAGGGAACCTCTTAGCAAAATGCAAATATTTCTGTGCCTCGTAGGCACGAGGCTAAAAGCATCTCCACTAGGCTGGGGTTTGCTGTCAGTTCTGTCTCTTGGATATCCCTTCACCCTTTCCTTTCCCTTGCTGGCACCTCTGACAGCCTGGGAAATGCTTTGATGAAGTGCTGTGGCAGGGAGGCCAGGCAGTCAGAAGGGATCAGGGCCGGTGATGTGTGATCTCACCTTCACAATTCCCGCTGCTCCCGGGGGAGCAGGGGCTGCCAGGGACCCCACAGGAGCGAGAACCCTCTTTGCACCAAGTCCTCGTCACTAATTGCACCGCAGGACTGTCACATTCCTTCCTCTGAGCCATCAGCTGGAAGAGACACTGAGAAAAAACACCTGAAAGATCAGGATGAGAGCGTTGGATAAAAAGGTTTGGACAAGGACTGGGATTTGGCAGCCATCCTCTTGCATTTAGGGAGACCTCCAGTCATTACAGAGCTCCAAAGCTTCGTTTTTACTCCCTCCCTCCTCAGCTGATTATTCATTTTATCATTACAGCTGCTCAGACAGCTTGTGACAGAGCAACTTGCTATCAGGAAGAAATCAGAATTGATTAAGTTAGCACATTACAGGTTTAATTTAGACATAAACAAGATTCAGACCTTGGAGAAAACCAGAATATCCTACTTTTAGTTCTCAGTTTGAAATACTTCCCTTTTTTGGGGTGCCTTTTCAGAAATGTTCCTTGTTTTTTGGGGTGAAAAAGAAATTGACAATTTAAAATTAAAAACTAAAAATTTTAAATTTAATTAATTAAACGTAAAATTTAATTTAAAATTAACTGAGATTTAATTAAAAAAAATAAAAAATAAATATGAGGCTGATCAACAAAGCTAAAACGTTTCCAGGAAGGCTTTGTTTTGTTTCCTGGGAGCATCAGTTTGCTCCTGATGCAGGATGAGAGCATCTTGCTGAGGGCACGGCAGGCAAATTACTGCAGGGTGAGCTGAGTTAAGAGCTTGGAGAAAGTTCCCTCTCCATTGTGGTTTCCTGCTCTTCTCCTGTGGTGAGTGCACGGTCATTTTCTGCTGAAACAGGATTACTCCATCCCACATTTTCTCCAGGGTTCTGCCCTGTTAAAGCGTGCAAACTTTCCCAGGGGCTGCTGACGCGGTGTAAATTCCCATCCTCTCCTGCCCTGGAGCACTTAATTTGTGTGTCCATGCCCTGAATTGCTGGATTCCACACAAAAAAAAAAAAAAAAAAAAAAAATATAAAAAAAAAAAGAGTTCATCTCCAGTGCTGCTGGGGATGTTCATGGCTGTCTCAGGGCCTCAGGATTTTTTGGTCCAACCACCTGCTCAAGCAGGGTCACCTGGAGGTGGCTGCCCCAGGGCTGTGCCCAGGTGGCTTTTGAGTGTCTCCAAGGGTAGAGATTTCACAGGTGCTCTGCTCATCCTTTCACAGGGATAAAAAGAAGTGTTTCCTTCCTGACTTCACAGTCAAACCTGAAAAACAATCAGAGAATGGTTTGGGTTGGAAGGGACCTTCAAGGTGATCTCATTCCAACTCTCTGCCAGAGGCAGGGACACCTCCCACTATCCCAGGCTGCTCCAAGCCCTGTCCAGCCTGGCCTTGGGCACTTCCACAACCAAGAGGTCTCCAATGAGAGCCCCCTCAGTTTGAGAAGGCACCAGGCATTTCAGGAGCCCAAATTCCACATCTGGTCAGTGCAGAAGGGAGATGTCCTATGTGGTGTGAGGGAAAAGGAACAAACTGGTCTCCAGAAGAGGCACCACACACCTCACATTCAGCTCATTCCATAAGAAATTCCACTCAGGGAATGCTGTGAATTCCCACCTTGCTGCTGTGTTGTTAAATTTCCCCATGGAGGCAATCTCAAAGGGAGGGAAGGAATGTCCTGTGCCCCTGGAAGACACAGGGGTCAGCAAATAAACAGGGGACAATTTCCACTCTTTCTCCCACGTAAGTAGGACAAGAGCATCATCTCGCCAGCAAAATGCTGCAGCTGCTTCCAGGACCTGGTCTGAAACAGAGCACTCTCCTTAATTTTGCATGAATTCCCCTGTCAAATGCCATCCTGCGGGCAGGTCCCCAGGCAGAGGAGCCTTTATGCAAGTTCTGGAGAAAGGGGAAGCAAAACTTGCTTGATTTAAAGCCTGAGATTTTTTTTTATTATTATTTTTTGCCATGGGGTGTCACCTCCCAGGCTGAGCTCTGCAGGCAAAGGGAAGAAGCCAGCATGTGCCTGTTGGGGACATTTGCCACTGGGTGACTTTATCTTCTCTCTTCATTTTCCAGCTGCTGGCTGTCATTAGAGGGAGGACTCCTCTATGCCTTCGTGGGACCGGCGGCTGCTGTCGTTTTGGTATTTAAGCTTGTCTGAAAGATTTTTTATTTTTTATTTTTTTCTCCTCTGTATCTTACACCAATTCCCTTGTTCTTTCAACCCAAGAATGCCCCTCTTTATTTCCACTTGTGTTTTGAAGAGCTTCCTCCTTCAGGAATAGCGAGCAAAGCCAACAATTTGGGATGGGGTGGATTCTGAAATATAATGTGCCTCAGCTCTCAGCCTTCCACCTCTGTCCTCACAGGAGCCCCCTAACATCTGATTAATGTTTTACCTTGGTTTTGCTCTGTCTGGGTGGAAGTGCAGGAAGATGGTGGAAAACTCTGACACTGACTCCTTCAGAAATTGCTGTTCCTGGTGGTTTTCAGACCGGGCTGTGCCCTCACAGCCAGCTTTTATTCCTGGTCCATTCCAGGCCAGTGCATGTGAGCAGATTTCCTTTTTTGCAGTAGAAACTGAAATCTTCAAATCGGTGCTGGGGGGGGTCCCTAATGACCCTAAAAATTTCATGTTTGCTTTGAATTCAAAGAGATGGCAGGGTTAAAGTGGTCATTCCCAAACTCCAGCTCCTTCATGAGGAGTCTGTTCATCTGTCCCATCACCCCTGGCTTCAAGACAGCCCCAACACCAACCTTGGCCATCCATTATTTGAGTTTAAGGTGTCACTCGAGGTGACATTCCTTCCCTGCTGCTGAAGCCATGATAAACCTCAGGGCTGAAAGAATCTGAGAACTGCTGTTCCTCCAGGAAATCCCTCCTGCAGCAGTTTCCCATGGGTTTAAAGCCACATTTGAGCCCCCACATCTTTCTGCAGTTTCTGTCCAGCCCACTGTTTTATCCAGTGGAGGAGCTTCATGCCCTCTGAGGCTCCAGAGCCCTGGAGAGTCCTGCAGGAATGGGGTTGTTGACACTCACAATTCCTTTTTCAGTTCAGGCTTTTGTTTCGTGCAGTGCCTGGGGGATGAAATGCCCCGCAGCAGGAGCTTACAGGAGAATAACTCCACAAAAGCTCCTGCTGCCTCTATTCTCAGTGCTGTCACTGCACATCAAACCACCTTGGTGCCATCATTTCATCATGGTGACAAAGAGAAAAGCCAGCAGTGGCCCCTCCTCTGCAAGAAATCAAAACTGGTTTGAGTTGAGGTCTTTCATGCGGGGTTGTGACACAGTGATTCGGAGGGAGGAAGCTTTGGTAGTGCCCAGAGTCACTCTGCTGCCTCAAACCACCTCGCTTTTGTTGTGCCAGCAGCAAGGGAAGTGATACTTCTCTTTTTCGTTCGCACTTTCAAAGTGTGAGGAAAACACAGGAGCCTGCTTCTGTTTGCCAGCTCAGTTTTCCCTCACCATCAAGCTGAGGAAATGAGATGTCCTTGCAGGGGGGTCAGCACATGCAAATGGTGGTTCCTGCAGTGGATATTTGGAAGTGGTGAATCGCTTCTGGGGGTGTCCGGCCCTGATCACCACCAAGAGAGAGGCCACACACCTCATTTAGACTCCCTGACTCGCTCCTGGCCAAAGGGACAAATGGATATTGCCCTGGTAGAGACACCAAAGAGCTTAGGGAAGGAGAAGTATGGAAAGCCTTTTTATAAATGGGAACCTGCAAACAAGTGAGCTCAAAAAGTTGATAATACTCTGAAGGTGGTCGGCCTGCAGCTTCAGCAATGTTCATAACTCAGGCCACTGACACCGAACAGCTGCAGGTTTTGAGGATAAAGGTTTGACCTTTATTCTTAAAAATCCTGATCTACCTTAAGCACAGAGCTGTTGGAAGCAGTTCTGCTCGCCCAGCTCACATGGAGCAGCCTGGTGATGGTTGTGTGCAGGCTGAAGGCAGGGGGAGGCTCGTGGAATGAAATCAGGACAGGCTCATCAGTGGTCAGGTGGTGGTTGTCTCCAGGAACCTCTGACTTGAGGCTTTGCTCCTGGATGTTATCTCAGAGACAATGGAGTAAAGCTGCCCTGCACATTCCTGGATAAACATCCGTCTTGTATCCCTGATTTCCTTCCTAAGAAGTGGAGCGAGGATCAGAGCAGGATGCTGATCATGGTGATCAGTGTACTGGATTGATTGGTTGATTGATTGATTGACTGATTAAAACCAGTGCAGAACTGCTGTTTATTGTCTCCCCTGCTCCTTAGGAATGAGGACGCACACTTTGGCCAGGAGTGATCCAGCCACACTTCAGCCCCACCTTTTCTCCGTCCTGGCTGCACCTTAAGGAAAAGCCTTTCTTGCACTTATCAGCTCCTCCACAGTGATCAGTCATTTCAAAGTGCTCCCTCTCTTTCCAGGCTCATAACCAGGCTTTGATTTCCTGCTGATCCTTGGCAGTGTCACTGTGCCTGACTTGCCAGCATTGTTTCTCTAAATCAACACCATGGTGTACTCTAGAAATGGTCTCAGCTGCCCACTGACCCAGCAGCTGATGCAAACAAAAATAATCACAATTTACGAGATTTTCCATGGATCCCCAGCTGTGGACTTCACATCAGTGAGCTGGTGGAAACAGCAGAAAGACTGATGGTTGTTTTAAAGGATGATTTAGGCAATTAGAGGTTTGGTCCTTTCCTTTGGGTCAGGCTCCTCCTAGGATCTCTTAAACTCACCAACACATAAAGTCACGTGAATTTATCTCTGAATTTGGCCTTGAAACGTTTCCCTGCAAGCCCCACATGCAAAACGGCATCGACCACAAGTTTCTACCACCACCAGCTGTTCTACTGACAGCAAAACCAGGAGAATGTCACCTTTTTCCACCATCAGTGCTGTGCCTCCACGCCGGGGCTGGGGCTGGTGTGTCACTAACATGTTGAAGAGGTGCAGATGGGGTTTGTAAAGCAGATGCAGCTGGCAGCAGTGGATGCAGTTGGGAAGGCACAGGAAGGAGTTTGGGGTCACTCTGCAGGATCTCAGCTCTTCCCAGCCCTTATTTCACTGTGGATTTTTGTATCTGATGGACACAGACATCCCTGCTCTCGCCCTGAGGAAAACAGACTGCATGGAATTGTATTGCACACCGATTTTTGGGGGGAATTCTCTCTGCTGTGCCATCTGCAGTATCTCCCAAGACATCCCACCAGAGCACATGATGTTTCTACTTGCTCCAGTGCCCTTCCACCTCTTATTTCGAGAGCAGCAGTGCTGATTCACCAGGAAGGAACTGTGACACGTTGTCTGCGTTCTCTTAATGCTGCTGCTGGGGCAGCGCTGACTCCAGAAGGTTCTTTGGGAAGCAGACAATGTCAACCCACTGCTCTTCTCTGTACTGCCCACAATCATTTGGATTAGCCCAAAAAATTGTTGCCATGACTGGAGTTTTCCTTGCTGGACCCCAAGCAATGCTGGGGTTCAAACAGCTCTGCAACAATCTGAGAAATTCCCAGTCTCTCCTGCTTCATGGAGACCTGATTGAGGGTTGGACTTGATGATATTTGGGGTCTTTTCCAATCTTTTTGATTCTCCAACCTCTTTGATCTGCTGCCAGCTGCATTCTGCTGTCCTGGACTCACTGATGCACGGCCAGGGGAGGTGGGACAGGTGGGGACAGGGGACACGAGGGGTGGTGGCCTGCAGAAGCGGGACCTGGATTTGGGAGGAAACCCTTCTGTGTTACTGAGTTTGACCTGACCGGCTTGAGAACAAAACTTGTGTGTTGTTTCTCTTTTGACAGGTGAACATGGTTATTGGCATTCTGGTTTTTAACAAACTTGTATCCAAAGATGGAATAACAGATAAGAAACTGAAGGAACGGGCAGGGTATGCCTTATCAATACATCTAAGTAAAGAGTGAAAATAAAAACCAAAAATACCCAAGGTTGTGATCAATAACCAGGCAGCGGATGCAAACAAAATGCAGGAACAGATTTAAACAAAATGAATGGAAAAAAACCACTTGATTTAATGTCTTTGCCCTGTCATTCAGTGCAGCAGGACACAAAAATCCAAGAAGCAGCCCTGTGTTGCTGTGGAGGAAGGATAAAAGTTCATCTCTTTGTTAAAATGGCTTCAGGCCAGGCTGATGCATCCTCCCAGAAATGAGGGAGAGCAAAGTGGTCACTAACTCCTAGAGACAGCAGAGAGACTCAGAACTGCTGAGTGTGGCATGGGCTGGGTGACAGAGGGGTCATGTCTGAAGGCTGGCAGGCGTCTCAGAGGTGTCTCAGGGACAGCAGAGGTGTGTGATGGAAGGGAATGGATCCTGGAGGTCTGGCAGAGAGCAGAGCAGCAGATGGATGCAGTAGGACAGGTGACTGCAGAACCTCTGCTGCGAGAGAAAATTCTGCTGCCCCCTGAGGTTCTTTATCTTCTCCACAGCCTCCATCCCTCAGTCCAGAGGATTTGTATTACCTGGTTTCCTTTGGAGTATAAATTCAAGAGCTGACTCCACGTTTCTCCCTACCCTGGTGTCTCCCAGGGGTTTGGCAGGGGTAGCAGCTCCCAGGCAGGGTTCTCTCTTGGGTTATTCCCAAAATTTTGTCAGTGTCTGTTTTTCCATTGCCAACACCCCCAGCAGGATGAGGGCCCCTCTCCTCTCCATTTCTAGGAGCAAGCCAGCAGCCTGCTCTGATTTTATCCTTGAGCCGTGCTGTGCTCTGAGCAAGGGACAGAAATGGCAGGCTGACACTCTGGCTCTCATCAGATGCCCAGATCGGCCTGGCTGATGTTATTTTCCTCTGCCTTCCTTGGCTTGTTGTTGCAGTCAGAGGAGCTCTGTCCTTTACCTGCTGCTGGGAAAGGCAGGGATCTCTGCTCCCAGTTGTTCACTGCAGGAATTTGATTTATCACTGTGGGTAACAGCTGCATTCTGGAAGGAGGAAGTTGTTTACAAAGAGATGAGGAGAGCAAGAGCTCGTTCTGGTACCTCTGCATGGAGGCAGAGTTTGAAACCTTTGGAGTCTGGTGGAGAAAGCACAGGACACATGGATATATCCTGTCTGTAAAAGTGGAGGAAGAAAGGGTCTCCACTGGGTCTCAGAGGGCAGGGGTGGATATTGTGGATGAGGTTCAGTATTCCTGACACTGCACTATGGACCAGCTGGGGTGAAAGTGGTTTTTAATGGAGTGGTGGAGGCAAAACCCAGGGTAGAGGCAAATTCTTATCCAGCACCTCAAATCCCATGTTCAGTTTTGGGCCACTCACTCCAGGAAAGACCTTGAGGGGCTGGAGCGTGTCCAGAGAAGGGAACAGAGCTGGGGAAGGGTCTGGAACACCAGGAGCTGCTGAGGCATCAGGGGAGGCTCAGTCTGGAGAAAAGGAGGCTCAGGTGAGACCTCATCACTCTCTGCAGCTCCCTGAAATAGGGAGTGATGTGGTGAGGTGAGGGCTGGAATCTGCTCCCAGGACAAAGGGAAATGGCCTCAAGCTGCACCAGGGGAGGTCCAGGTTGGATAAATGGAAGAATTTCATCCCTGAAAGGATGACCAGGCTTTGGAACAGGCTGCCTGGGGACATGGTGCAGTCACCATCCCTGGAAATGCTCCAAAAACAAGCGGACCTGGCACTTTGTGATGGAGTTTAGTGGCCATGGAGGGGTTTGGTCAAAGGTTGGACTCGATCTTGGAGTTCTTTTCCAACTTTAACGATTTTGGAAAAAATGCCAGGGACCTGTTTAAACTCGTGGTTTATCAGCAGTGTTGACATGGCCAAGCCTTGGGGTCCCTGGGTGCAGCAAAGGGGAATTTTGGTGCCTGGGCAGTGCCATGGCCATAAAACCAGAGATTTGGATGATCAGAGATAACAGCTGCTGCTGGGTTGAAAAATACGCAAAGAAGTGACCTTGGTGCATTGCTTCGAGCAGCTGCTAACGAGCAAGTGCTTCATTCTGGCTGATGCCTTCTTGACAAAGAGAGAACTCAGGAAAACACCCAGGCTGTGAGGCAGGGTCTGGAGCTTGAAAGTCAGCGCTGCAATAAATGGTTTATTGGATTAGCAAAGCAGAGAGTTGCTGCCTCTGAGTCCCCCCCTCCCTAATCCAAACTGCACACGGAGTGACCTTACTTAATACACAGCAGCTGGTTATTGATCACACTCAGAGCTGGGCTTTAAAAACAAAACCTGCGAGGCAACAGAACAAAAAACAAACAAACAAACAAGCAAAAAGTCATTTTTCTGATGTTCTTTGTTTTTTTTCTTTCTTTTCTCTTTTTTCCCCCCCTTCTTTCGTGTCCGTGTGTGTGTGTGCAGCACTTTTAAGCCTTCTCTGTGCTCAATGGTTTTGTTCTCCCTTCCCAAGTGCCCCTGCTGAGAGTGTGGGAGCACTTTTGAGAGCCCTGGTGCCCCTTTCCCTTTATTTCTCTGCTTCTGGCCTGGGCTTGGGAACCGTGTTGGAAGGTAGATCTGAAGAAAATCAGAACGAGTAATGGCCTTGGAGGTGTTTGGACCTGAGGAGATGGTCTAAAGAAACGTTGTGTTTCCTTTAGCAGAGGCAAGAAGTATGGTTCAGTGTTGTAAAAACAATTTTTTAAAAGGGTGAAAAAGAAAAAATATCCCTAAAAGTTGAGGGAAAAAAAGAGCTGTTGGATATTAAGAGGAGCCCAGCACACACTCCACAGATGGTTGTCACAAATTCACCAGTGCCAAGAGTTCTCATGAAATAATACCTGAGACACAAGAATTCTGCCCTGTACTTAGCAGTGGAAATAGCTGTGATTATTGTTGTCACATTTGTCAGAAAATGCAGACTTTCTAATGGCAGTGATTTTATAGGTGGATCACAAAGCCAGGCTGTAGAGAAGGGGGTGTGAATACCTGGAGAGCTGGAGAAAGGCCACAGCTGCCCCAAAACCTGTCTGGGAATGGAGAAAACCATCCCAGTCTCTGTTGGTGGCCAACTCCACCACCCGTGTTTGAGCTCTCCTGAAGGGATTGCTACAAAAAAATGAATGTTTTAATGTCAGGAGCCTTTAAAATGAGTTTTAAATGTATTCAACCAGCGTTTATTCCGGAAGCATTTGTGTGCTCATGCAGGCAGGGAGGAAGAATGAGACCATAAGGGATTTTCACCAGGGCTAATTTAGGCTGAGTTTAATCTCTCTGGGCTTCCTCTGCCACTCCTGGGGAGAGAGAGTAACTTCATCCCCACTTAGAGAACCTCTTCTTTTATCTCTGTTGATCACAGAAACCACCCAAGAAGAGTTTGGCCCAAAGCCTTGTGTGAAATAATCTCTGTGCAAGTGTCCTGCTGGGGTGGAACAGAGCTGGGTGGCCAGAGCACAGGGGGGAGAGAGTGATTAGGAAGGTAATAACTCCATTAAGACAGGAAGGGATTGGGATTGCCCTTCCTCTGGGAATGGTTCCTGTTGGAAGCAGTGCTCCTGCTCTTTGGGCTGTGGATGGTGGAAAGTGCTGCTCAATAAAAGGCAGCAAACAGTGAACAGCCCAGATGAGCCCATCAGCTGTTTGTGGATGTTTAGGAAGAAGCAGAAAAAGCTAAATTAAATGAAGGCATTATTCACTGTGATTATTTAATTAGCTGCCCTTTCATATGCACAGGCACCAATCTAAACCTGCTATGGAAATTCAATATATTAACAACCTCATGCCCCCAACCAGAAGGAACTAGGAGATAAATGCACCCACATCTGTGCCCACTGCTTGCAACTTTCTGCATAAACACACCCAACAGCAGCTACAGTTGTGTGTTTACAGTGGTCTTTTGGCCAGTTCTCTGTGATTCAGTGTCATTCATGTTTTTTCTGGTACAGTTTCCCATCAAATTCCTCAAGTCAATCTACTTTTTTTCTTTTTGCTGCCTATCTCTGCCTCTCTCTGTCTCTCTGCTTATCTGTTCTTTGTGGCTTATAGATTTGGGGATAAGCTGTAATTTTTTTTTTTTTTTTAAGGGTCGTGCACCTAATGCCTCTCCAGACCCACTTTATATTTGGTTCAGCCATTGTCCTCACAGGATTTACACCATCCTTCCTGGAAGATATTTATCTGTGGACACAGGAGCTGATTTCCTCTGTGTCTAAAAGCTTCTGTGGGATGCCTTAGTCATTATTCTGGACGGGAACGATGACTTATGTCGCTGTAATTAATGAAAAGACCAATCAATAGCCACTTGAAAGGGGGCCATGGGCCCACTGCTGCTGCTGTGTTGGTGCTCACCAGGATGTCTTTTTGCAGTGAGACTGAACAGAGAGCCACCAAAGCTAAGAAATGCTCTGTGGAGTCGCCTGATCTCTCTCCCAGGCAGGGCAGGGCTGTAAAACCCCTCCTGGTTGGGGCAAACCTCCCTCAGCAGCATCCCCACCACACCCCAGGGATGACATTCCTGCTGGCTCTGGCAGTGGTTTCATGTCCTCTCTGATGCCAGGCACAGCAGGGAGGTCTGAGGGATGTTTTGCAGACTCCTTCCCGTTTTCCAAGCCAGATCTGACGTGGCTGTGGATCTGTGCAGACCAGGGAGAGCACACAACCACTAAATTCTGGGAAGAAATGGGGCCAGTGCCAAGCTAATGTGGCTTCTGGGCTCCTAAAGAGCTGAACTGGGGGGGTTCCCACACTACAGCTGCTAAAAATCCAAGGATGTGCTTTAGCAGATCCCCTCATACCAGCAGCCCTCAGTGGGCTGTTTCTGTGGTTGGTCCCATCCAGAAAAAGCAGGATCAGCAGGTGGGAATAATTGTCAGGATCCATCCCAAAGATGTTTTCAGCTCCAGAACAGGATCTGAGAGAAGGAATATCTCAGAGGCAGTCAGCCAGTTGGGTTCCTTTCAGGGCAGGTGTGGGGTCTGAGGAAACACCCAAGCTCAGGATTAACTTTGGGACATAAAAGAGTCCCATCCTTTATCAGGGATGAAGCAACCAAAGAGTGGCCTCTGTCCTGGTCTCCCCAGCTCCCATTCAGAGAAAACAACTTATTCCTGGCATTGCTTTAGGACAGAAGATATGCAGGCACAGCCCCTACAGCCCTACTTCTTGCCTTCTACTGCACAACCCTGCCACCTTTTTTGTTTTGGAGCAAAAAGGCCAGGAGGGAAAAGAGCAAATTCTCAAAAAAAAAACCAAAAAACCCACAACCAGAAAAAAGACCCCTAATGAACAAAAAAACCCCTAAAAAAACAAACAAACAAACAAAAAAAACCAAAAAAAAACCCCACAAACCAAACAAAAAACTCATATAAAAAGAAGGAGGTGGAGACTGGGAGAGCAGTGCTGGTCTCTCTTCCGTGGGTGCCAGAGAGGGACACCCCAAATCTGGCAAGACTTTCACCAACACAGTTCCACCCTCTCCAGCAGCACCAACAAGTCTCTGAGTTGTCCATTTCCCCCCATTCCCCGCATCTGGAGTGGTACAGATGAGACTTTTAATTCCTGCTTGTCTTTCATTTCCCTTCCCAAACTGGGTATGGTTGGTTGGTTCCCTTTTCTCCTTCCTTTCTTTTTGGCTTCTCTTTCCCTTTCCTTTCAACGTTTGTGCTCATGAGCGAAGTGTTTTGTTTTGTTTCAGTCTTTTGGTTTTAATTGCAGTCAGATGGCAGTGCCCCTTTACGGCATGACGCTCAAATGTTCCAAGTGTGGAGTAGTTTCTTCTGCTGAAGTTTCGGCCACAGCCACCAGTAACGCCATGTTAGTTCCTCTAATTTCAACTTCTTTTCTTTCTTTCTTTTCCTTCCTTCCTTCCTTCCTTCCTTCCTTCCTTCCTTCCTTCCTTCCTTCCTTCCTTCCTTCCGCCACTTCCTTCCTTCCGCCACT